ATCATCGCGATAACAAATTACCGCTGCTGGATGCTGGAAAGGGAGGGGAACCGGGGGAGCGGGGTGGGGAAGCGTTCGAAAAGCAGCATGGAAGTTACAAAAGATCAATCTTATTTGCGCCCCGAAAATAGCCAAAGTTGAGGCTGCTTATTTTCCAGCTTGCCTCAAAAGAGGCGCTTCGCAGCGCGCAGCTCTCGAGTTTGGAGTTTCGAGTTCCAAAGAGTCGAGTCCGGTCGATTAATTTGGCTTGTTCGGCCTGCGAACATCTCTCTTTCTTTTTGGCTGCATTATTATTATTATTGTTATTGCACTGGCCAACTCCCCCCAAACTCCGTCCTAGCCCTCCCCTGGTTTTCCCGCCCGATTGGGCCTGCTCCTCCAGCTAAACAAACTTACAATTTAGATTGAATTTATTTGAGCGCATTGCCTAGACGAGGAGCAGCCAGCCGGGCCAGCTCGGCCAGCCCATTGAGATCTTCATTTGCTGATCTTTCTGGGAACATCTCGGCGGCGTTGACCCCAAAGGCAGCTCCCCAGCCCCAACCCCCAGCCAAAGTCGAAGTAGAAGTCGCAGATCCAGTCAAAGCCCGCCAGTTCGGACGGTACTTGCGTATCTGGCACTGACCAGGCTAACAGGCGATGCCTTTCGCTTCGCTTAGCTTCACTTCACTTTGCTTTGCTTTGCTTTGCTGGGTTTGCTTGGTTTGCTGTGCGTTCCTGCTTTTTGAACTCTATTAAACTCAACGGATTTATTAATTTTGCTGCCGATTAACTGTTTCAGATACCGCTTGACCATTCCACAATATTGTGGCCCTGGCTCGCAACCGAACCTCAGCCGAACTGAACTGAAGTGAACTGGCTCTTCAGACGCGACTCGTCTCGTATCCGTTAGCTGGATCGGTTCATAAATCAAATTTGGTCTGGGCTCTTGTGGCATTCGCAGGGGAAATCGCAAGCGGGCAATCGGAAAAGCCTTAAAATGCCGACAAAGATTGACATTCACATAATTAGACAGTCTGGATAGGAAGCGAGCGAATCTATGGGTCAATAGATTTGGCATTAGTCAAAGCTTTAAATATATGATATGGCAATGGCCATCTAGCAACAATGTAGAGTCCATGATACCAACATCAAGCTACAAAAGTTGAGATATATTGTATTTTGTTATATATTAAGCAGAACATTTTTACATTGTACAGATAAATGTAAAACAAAACAAACAGCAATACGGAATCTTTATTTATAAAGAACATTTCGAATAGAAAAATTGTATGTAATTACAAGTGTGTATATCAAAAATCCCTTCATATGCATTAAATGTTTTTAAAGATTTTATTGATAAATTAAGCACAAAGTTTTGAGTCAAAACTATAAGAATAACAACATCGATTTCATGTGTATTTAATATCTTTGATAAACAAGCTGTTTGGACTTCATTTGTTAGTCGAACTTAAAACAAGAATACAAGTTGAATAATCATAGGATTATTTGCTATTTCAATCCTGTTCCTTAAGTATAGTGTCCTCCGCTCAATCAAATTGTGTTCATTATACTCTTTCTAAATCGGGGTGTGGGAGGAAACCCAATCTGAAATATGTCAGCAATGCAAGGGCACCGAGGAGTGGGCGGTGGGCGATGGGTGGTGGTTAGAGGCAGGGAGGTGGGCACTTTGTCCGTTTGGGTTGGTCGCCCTTCCCGAAGCGGTGCAGTGGTGGTGGTGCTGCGGTGTGGAGTTAGTGGTGGTTAAGGTGGTGCTGCGGTGGTGGCGGCGTTGTCCACTTATCTCGCGCAATTGATCGCGGGTTGTTATAGCCGCTGCTGCTGCTGGCGGCCATTGTTTGCATTTTTCAGCTTGTTTTTTGTTGTTGTTGTTTCGTGCACTGTGTTCTGTCTAAAATGACATTTTTGTCCGGCTGTCCCCTTGGCTGTTGTTGTAGTTGTTGTTGCTGGTCGTTGTTTGTCATGCTCATTGTATGTACGAGTGTTTTTAGCCTGGACAAAGGCAGCCATTTTTGGGCTGCCACAAACGGCAATTATAATTGCGACTACTTATCAGGCGGTCGGTGGGCGGAGAAGAGGAGAAGTGGGTTGGTATGGGAGAATTGGTTGGTCAGTTGCATTTTTCCAAAAGGTAAACATTGTTTTATAGCCCGTTTGCGCTGATTGTTTAAGCGAAAATATGAGTGCATCTGGTACAAAAATACCCTGTAAAAAATTGCATGTTTATCCACTATTGTTGGCCTTAAAAGAGAACAAAAGCTTAAACATTAATTTTATAAATGTTAAAACCCATACCTATACCTACCTACATACACCCAAAATATTGGTTAATATAAAATATTGGTTGTTAAACAATATAAAATAACAACGGCCAAAGGCTCTCCTTTAGAATTTCTCAACTTTCTTAAATTTAAATAAAATCTCTTACATATTCGTTGCCATAAATCCTAAGTGCCTCATTTTCATATACCTGTTCACAGTCTGATAAACTTCCCTCAGCCATTAAATAGGGTATGCACAGATTGCACTTTGTTTACATTTATTCTTTATGGCTTTGCCTTGTTTTAAGCTCACCGCTGTTGTTTATGTACATAGAATAATTATATTTAATTGGCGCCGCCAATGGATCGGAGTAAACATTATGGGGAAATGCATTACGGTCTTCCCTTCATTCTGCGGAATTTCATATGACCCTTTGCCTGGTTAGCAGCAAACAGCCACAAAAAACATTTGTTTCTGTTCTGTGTTTTTTTTTTAATCGCTTTGCGGCTTTTTGTGCCCCGCTAATGTTGGCAGTCCGATATCGGGGAGGGTTATCCCCTACTTAATTGGCAAATTATATAGATCTATATAGAGTGCTTGTCTAGATGTGATCAGCAGTGACATTGATGTGACCAGGCAGCTGCTGACCAAAGCCAACGAGCAAAAAAAAAACGAGTTAATAAGAAACTTGTTACGAAATTAGGCAAGCCGAGGGAAGATTGGGGAGTGTGGGGCAGGAGTGGCAAGTCGCATTAAGGCTCGAGGCGATTACTTACGCAAAACACATGCATAAGTCCTCATCAGGCGAGCGACGTCATCGCGAAATTGATGTGCGAGCAGTCAACAACAAACACCAGCTATAAAATAATTACCAAAAACAGTAGTAGCTGGATAACAAATATTTTTAAATTTATCAAAAAAAGTATAAAAGAAGTGATGTAAAAAGATACAAATTTATAAAGTGAAGATTGTTTAAAACATACCTTTCTTTCTCTTTTTTTTTTGTTATTTTACAAAGAGTTCTCAAGGCTCTGTAATTCGCACATATTAATTTAAGAAATTCAGACCTATTTATAAACCTTTCTTTAAAGCTTTTCGATACATTTAGTTTAGCGATCGTTTACTGTACTTCAAAGCGATAAGGACGACAAGAAGAGGCAGAGCAGCGAGCAGAATAATAAGGAGGCGCGGTGGGCAAAAGCACCTGCACTGCGCACATCTCTGGCGAAGTCGAAGCGTAAATTGATAAGCTGCAAGCTGGGAAGGGGCAAAGCTGAGAAAAGTGGTAGCAAAGCAAACTGGTTGCAAGCCCTTCTTTACTTACCAACACTCCACTCCACTCCACTTCACTGGACTCTCTTATTAGTGCCAGCGATTGACATGCGCTGCCTTCTGTTTTGCCCACTCTGTGCGATGCCTCTTCTTATGATCCTGCTGTTGTCTTTGTTGTCCTTAGTCTGCTCAGCAGGATTTGGGTGAGACGGAAGACTGCAAGAGTCTTCTGGCTAGATAAACATTTGGCTCTTCTGCCTTCCGACTCCGCATTGAATAGTTGCACGCAATGCAATTGACAGTGCCAGCCATTCCGTCCATGGCTGACGTCACAATAAGAGAAAGAATACCTTTTCGAAAGTGAAGGCGCACTACAGTGATAATTCAGTTACAGAAACAACTGATTCAGCGCTTTGGTAAGAAATATAGAAATAAATTACGTATACGACGTGTTGAATTAAGTTTGGTTTTTTACATGAAAGTTTATGCTACTACATTATTTTTAATTATTTATCGCCTAGTCCGCGTAAAAATTTTTTATTCTATTTGTAAATGTTTAATAAAGTATCAATAATGTTTATTTGTTTTGGTTATTATTTACAATTTTAAATACAAACTACATATGTAAGTTACTTTTTGGGGCGACTACTGTACCTTTAAGAAGTGCAGGCAACCTGAAGCATCAACATCTGTGACATGCGGTCAAAGGCGGACGCAGCATATGGCCCATGGCTTAGGGGCTTTGTGTATCCAATCGGATTCCTGGCCACGGACATTTTGCCCGTCTAGCCGAGCGAATATGATTTCTGGTTCTGGGCTGCGGTGTGCATTTCGTACGCCTTGTTCTTTTGCGGTTGTCAAGTGGCACATGTGAATAAATCATTCGCGATAAGCGCGAAGTGAGTGCTCATGTTTATGGACTTAATGGCTTTGGTCACACCAAATAAAATTTGCATATCGGGCTAAAACTAAGAAAACCCGGCTCAGATAAGTTGTAAATAGGGGGAGAGAGCGGTTCAAGGAGATGCCATTGAGCGATAGCACTGATAGCTCTTAATTACCGCCTAATTAATTAAGAGATGAGCGATGTGCCCCGAATTTTCACCAGCAGTGAGCTGGAAAGAGTCGGCTCTACTTTGCACCTGTGTGAGTGCGAACACGCCCCCTCACTGGATTGAGCGCAATAAGCGGGTGCGAGTAAGACAGCGGCAGCACTTCCAAGACCGCCTTGGTTGGTTGCTCTCTTCCAGTCACACGTATGGCGACGCCGGAACGACTGGCACTGGAACACCGTTCGCACCATCTCGCTCCAACGCAGAAGCGTCGCTTGGCGATCGCTCGTTGCCAGGACGACTGGAAAGTGGCCAAAACACACCGCTCGCGTTTCACTTCCCAGCGCATTCCGCCAGGACTGGTTTTTTCATTCGTTTCGCAGCGCCCAGCTCAGTTCTTGTTGGAATCTCAAAGCGTTTACTTGGCCGCAGCGCAACAAAGTCGCGTTTGAAAGAGAGCGAACGAGCGAGAGAGAGCTCCCCACCCCCCCGTGTGCGAGCGAGAGAGCACGATGCAGTAGTCTCCTCCGCGTATGTGTTTCGTTTCAAACGTCTGCGTTCCGTCTGTCCCAGTCCGTTTTTTTGGCACTGTTGTTCATTCGCTCATTCACTCGTTTCTGGCGCTCGCGTGCAGTCGCTGCTCCTTCCTAACGGTTGTTTCGCCGTCGCCAGATTACCGCTAAGGTGCGTGCGTATGTGTGTGCGTGAGTGCTCCCCAAAAAAGTGAAACGATAGAGGCTCAAAACAACAAAACAAAAGCGAAACGCAGCACGCGATACCCTGTAAACTGGAGGTTCTAGACAGGAGTTCAAAAACACAGTAGGGAATCACGTGTGCAAGTGCAGACTGCCGGCGGTCATTCACTTCTCTTTTCACTTCCAAACACCTACGCTCCCTCCCACTCATGTGTGTGTGTGTGCGTGCCAGACAAATGTCACTTTGACAACTTGCCTGCTCCTCTGCCTCTGCTGGCGTCTCTGCCGGCGCCAACGTCGGCGTCGATCGTGCCGCAAATGATTTGCGTGCCGTTCTTGCATTAGCGCTTTTGGTTCCGTGCCGATTTTGATTTCCTCTGTTGCATGCGTCGTCATCGCATTCGCCATCGCAAACATCGCCCATTGATAAACCAGAGCCCAGCCACAACAACACCAACACACTAAAAAAGTGCAAGTGAAAAAGCAAAAGTGTTTGCCACGAAAGAACCAAAACAATAACCTGCTAAACTGCAACTGCCCGAATCAAAACAAAAACGCACAAACAACACTTCCATTTTTAAAAGCAATTGAGAAAGGATTGAGGCATTTCCATTACTCATTTAGAAAATGTCCACATTGGGCAGAAATTTTTTCAAACTTTATTAGCCGAATTCATTACTTGGCAACGTAGACAAAATTATTCTAGTCTAAGAAAGACATAGCTAATATCAAAGTTATTTAAAAAGCTTTCGGGAATCAAGCGGATGGCTTACAACATTACCAGGCAAAAGTTGCTGGTTTTTCATAAAGTTTTGCTGTTAGCAATGTCTCTCAAACTACAACCGTTAATATTTTTCAGGCGTTTGTATTGAAAATAATTAAGTAATTTACTTCAAGGATAATTTATTTTTAATAGTATAATACATGCTTTAAAAAGACTGTAATTATAAACGGTTTTGCCTAAAATTGCCGTCGCTTGGTTTCACCAGTATAATTCCAGTAAATTTAATTCAGAATTTAACCGTACAATTATTTAAACCGATACCTGGCATGCTCTTGTTGATCGAAAATAACTTTATTAGCCACCAGTTTACAACCTAGGTAAATGTGTTACTAACTGACAAGGGAGTGTCTTAGATTTTTTAATTAAATGTCAATACCAGTCATGGAATTGTGAATATCTGTCTTTCCTGTCATTAGAAAAAGGCGACGCTTTAGAAAAACAAGCAAAGACAACAAATTTTGTTTCACTTAAAAGCCCATTAATCAAATAATCTAATTAGCCAGACAATATTTAAATTTGAGAAAACCTATTATTTGAAATATCTAATAGACCCAATAAAACAATTGTTTTCACAAAATCGTTCAACCCGCAATCGAATAAATAAAAAATGGCTTTGCCACCACAATTCCCAGCCTTTCTCAATTGCTGAATCACATTTTCGCATTAAATCCCTCACATAGCTCCAGCCAACTGAAACTACAGTGCAATAAAAAAAGGAGCGCGAGAAATGAAATAAAGCAAACAAAATGTAAGCGTGAATGATAATTTAAAATAAATACAAAGAGGAGAAAAACAAAATTTACGCGTGGCTACAACTCCGAAACCGAAAACCCGCAGCAGGATCTCAACGGAACTGATCGCACTCAGCTCCTGGCTGTCTGAGTGTGTGTGTGTGTGTGCGAGTCCGTGTGTGAGAGAGTGTTGTACACCAGAGCAAAGCCAAATCAATAAATAAAAACCAATTACAAAACAAAAAAAAAGAGTTAAGAAACGAAAAAAAACACAGGAAAAGAATTCAACCTGCAGTACGGGAAAAGACGAGCAGAAGGCAGAAGACAACGAAGAATTGATACGAAAAATAATAAGAGTAAAAATCATTCACGACGGCGACCATAACGAACTCCGCCCTAGCAATGAGCCAGCTGGGCACCGTCTACGCCACGAAGCGGAGGCGACGCAACGGCAAGAGGTGAGTTACTAACTGGGTTCCCAGTCGGTTGGCTTTGCGCCCCACAGATTCAGTTCAATCCGCGAGATACAGATACCGAACGATTCAGATATAAATGCGCAGCGGGAGGCGGAATGTTTGGGGAGCAGCGAGTCCGGGTGCTCTGTTATTACTGAAAGATTTCAATCAATGCGCGTGAGTGGCTGCGATTGGCTGCACTTGCCACTTACCCACTTGCCACCTCACAGCCACCTTGGTTAGCTTGGTTAGCTTGTGGCGCCACCCGCTGACGCTCCATCAATCTCCGCAGCTACTGGTCTTGAATCCCCCAGCAATCCAGCATTCGATTATAAATGATCCGATGGCCATTTGTTGACAAATCGCCATCGCCATCGCCATTGACTTTTTTTTTTTTTTTTTGACTTTGGCCCTTGGCCTGGAGAAGCGTCTTTTTGTCCGCCCAAAGTCTCAAATTGATTTGCATTATGCATGTCGGGGCAGGTTACCGTGAAATTACAGTAGCCGAACAGTTTAAGGAGATGATGATGATGATGGTGATGATGATGAGGGGCACGATGACCATGATGATGCACGGTAGCGGTAGCGGCCCCTCCGGCTGTTCGCTGGGGGAGATCGAAATCTTCTCCTCCCAAGGTGCACATAATTTCTGATAATTTTGTGTACTTAGCTGCTGCAGCGGCACAAAGAATAATGTTTTCAATATAAATATATATGAGAACTCACGCATAATCATGGGCAGCGTCGGTAAATATGCACAAAGCGGACGGGGGGGCACTGCATAACTGGCCACGCCCACCCGCCGGGTGCAGACCACCGATCGCTAATGTTACGACCCCCATAATCAAGATTCGCTGATCAGCTCCAGCACCTTTGCCTTGAAAGAAGCCCAAGACTGTGTCGGTTTATCATCGAAATAGCGAGGAATCCGGATCTATTTAGGACAACACACGGTTATTATCCGGTTGGCTTATCAAACTCAAATTATCTAGCGCGAATTGCATGTCCGCTTAGCTAAAGTGCCTCGAATAATCATTAGTAAATCAGAAATGAACAAGATTTTTAGATAGTAAAATTATTAGTAATATTACGATGCTGTTTTCGGTTGACCAATTTGGTTTATAATTTTTGGAGGAATCTAATTATGAATTTGATGGATTTTTTTTACGGATTGTGTCCCAGAAAAGTTTAGCTTTGAAGTTCTCAGAAAATTGTGTTGCTTTCTCTTTAAACTTTTTAAGGCAACTCTTTCAGTTTCCTATTTTTAAAGTCTCCTTCTTGAATTTTTTTTTTCCCCCTCTCTGTTGGAACGTAAAACTTAATAATTTTCGTTATCGACAGGTAGTCTCGTAATTCGCTGTTCTTTCTGGCTTTATAAAGAAAAAAAAACTGAAAGAAAAAAAAAACAATTACGCTTGCAGTTGGCGAAACAGAAAAAATTCCAGGGGCCTTCAAAGTGCCACCCCGTGGACCCTGGCTGTGGGCCTGGCTGAAAAGCTGAAAAGCTGACACCGACTCTGACTCGCTCGACTGACGCAAAATTGTCACCTTGCCTCTCCCTGCTGCAATGCACACCTGCAATTATTCGAGTGGCAGGTCGAGAGCCTCGCAGTTTTTTAGGGTTCTGCGCTGCGCGGGAACCCTCCGATCATAGTTTTTATGTTTTAATGTTTTTAATGAACTGATCAAAATGTGCTCGCTGGCCTTAGCTTATAGCTAGCCCGGCTCTGTTCTTTTTACAACAATTTAATTGAGCTCATAAGTGCCAGGGAACAGCTGCCCTTTGAAATTTGTTCTTTGTCCCTAGAAACTTGCGAATATTACGCATACGACGCATGGACTAAACGTGCATTTGGCAAAGTTCGCGCCTTGCGTGCAAATATATTATTATAAACTTATCTATTCAATTGAACTTGTGCTATGTTCAGCACTAAAAAGCTGATGGCAGGGAATAGCTATTTTGAAAATATTCCAAAAACCAAAACAAAGTCTAAAAGACAACTTAAGAGCTTTAAAGGAAATTTAAGTTTTGAATACAATTGAATATATTGTGTGTTTCTTAGAAAGAAAGTTAACTACACATATTGAATCCACTTTTTGGTTAAAAAAAAGTTAAACTCTTTTCTTGGTATCCATTGCTACTCAAATTGTTCGACCTTAATATTAGTTTTCTTATTTTTTATCTGAATGATCTAGGAATTCGTGGTATTTTACTTTCCTTCCGTTTTCCTTAGCCCCCGAATGCAATCACTTCAGTGCACGGTTTAATTGGAAGCCATTGCATCCGTTTGCGAGAGTTGTTGGCCATTACCACAAGTAGTTAAAGTTCTGTGCTGCCCCTAACCCCAAAAGCTTACCCCCATCTTGGCCCCTCGCTGTTTGGTTCCACTTGTTGGTTGTTATGGATATATCAGTCCTGCTTTTCTTTATTGATTATCAGCTCGTTGTTTATGCTCTCTATGCGAGCTTGTTGTTTTTATTGCAGCTATATATGTGCAGGGGCTTGCGGGGGTATCCATGTTATTGATTGCTGCAGCTGGTATCCTTTACAATGCTCCTTTCAAGCTGCAGTCGTTGTGCAATTGCAATTAGCCGTGTTTTAAGTTGCAATTGTTGGTGCCGCAGTTGTCTGAGCCTTTGAGCACTGGTTTAAAGTTCAAGCGCTCGTATTTTATGTAGTTTGATTGAGTTGCAAAACTTGTTGGTTAAAAGTGGCGGTAACTCCAACTCCTGTTCAGAGCTTAAAGAAAATTTAAAGGGCTTAGATGAAGTCTGCTTTCTGACGGGCAATTTCAAAACACAAAAACATTTTGATTTAGTGATATCTATTTGTGCGATTTACTGAAAGGTTATCCATACCCAAACGACGTTCCCACCTTTAATTACTAATGTAATTTATTAGCAAAAGCTGTTGCATTTGATTTCTAATTATATTTTAAAGTATTTATTCTCACTATAAAATAAATTATTTTGTAGTACCGAACATAGATCGGTTCTGTTATTCATTTCAACCCCTCCACATTCAGTATCTCATTTTCCTTCTGTAGCAAATTAAATTTGTGAAATTTTTGATGAATTACAGTCGGGAGTATATCAATTCTGGTATTCCCACATGCCAGGAGATCGCTCAGTGGAAAACCGCAGCCCACTGCGACATATGTTTTCGCCGGTTCAGTTCGGTTTGGTTCGTTTTGGTCGGAGCACGGCTTTCAGGGTCCCTCTTTCTGGCCATGACCATATGGCCAGGACCTCTTTCTCGTAGCGCACATAAATTTGGAAGCCGGAGCTCAATTTAATGTTGGTCAAATGGACTGACCAGCCGGCGGGCGATGGCCAAGTGGGTGGGGGAGACACCACATGGCCCATTGGTGGTGGGTTGCTCATTAGTTGCGCCTGCGCCTCGCCCTCCTCACAAAAGCCGGTTCACATGGGGTTAAAAGTATCTCGGCTTGAAAGACCGACACTGCCGGGTTATTCTATTTAGTTAATTACAGTCGGATGGGTGGGGGGTGTCGGAGATCGGCAGATATATCTTTATGTGGCTTGAATGACATATGCCGGAGAATATCCTTTCAAACTTAAGTTAAACTTCCTTAAAGTCGACTTTTCTCACTTGGAAAATGTTGTTGCTTTTTTATGGACGATTTTCTATTGGGGACGCCGTGGAAAAATGGCTTTAAATGCTCTTGCTACCGTCTTTGGTTAACCGTTTTTCCACTGCCAGTTCGCTTCAGTTGCTTGCCGGCGATTATCCGCCTGCCAGTGTGTGTGTGTGTATGTGTGTGTATCCAAGTGTCTATATCCATGGCACGAGTATTGCTCTCCCTGTTCCACTCCCACTCGAAGGGGGCCCGGTGTCCGTGTGTTGGTAATTAACACCATTGCGTAATGCAGCGTATCGAAGCCTAAATAGTGCTGCTCCATATGCCAAACTGGGCGGCATTCGACTGGGGGCCCAGAGATTTGGCCAGGAGGAGGAGAAGGGGTATGCCGATATCAGCCATTAAGCAAATACGAGTGTCTCATTCTGCGCGGCTATCTATCTCTGTCTCATTTGGGGCAGCTACTTTGTTGCCACTTATGGGGCATGGGGAATCCGCATCCGTCATTTAGGAAGGTGTCGAAGTGCTTACAGATTTACAAGCTTTTTAGCCAACCTAAACCCGACTTTCTGTCTGGCCAGCGGATCAGGATCTCCAGTCAGTCAGTCAGAGTCAGTTAGGGATCGGTTTAGTGTCAGTGAACTGTCGAGTTAACCCGTAAACGGGCCACCACTAATCCATAAGCCAGTGGAAGCCCGGCTGACCGACCGAGCGACCGACCGACCACCTGCATTTGGCCAACCCCGAGCCTAGCCCAGGTTACTCAGCGAAAGCAAAACAAAAGAGTTCTGAATTAACCCAAAGCGTTCCATTAAAATCCACCACCGAGTGGCAGTAAAAGTTCCAGCAGCACCAGGAATAGGACTAGCAAAAGGACCACGGCCAAAAAGGACGCACTGTTGCCGTCTGCATTTATTTTTATTTTATTTTTTGTGTTGTATTTCTGCTTTTTCGAGTGTGCGCTGAAGTGGAGCGCCCAAAGGGGCTGGCCAGGAGCGGCGGTCGAGGGAGGTCGGGGTTTTGGGCCGGGACTGCAGTTGTCGAGGAGGTGGTATCTGCCCCGGGCAGGTGATACTTTCGGCTGCCTTTTATCCCTTCACGATACCCTGGAGAAAGGGATTGTTTAACTTTGGACAAAAGGCTCTTTACTGCCAAGAATGGGGGCTGAACTGTAACTAAATTGTAACAAAAAACGCTTCCTAATGTGAGTTTTGTTCAGCTGCTAATATGAATTATAGTTTTCTTAAACAATTTAGGTAGTTTGTCAAATAATATCAATACTCAAGTTTAAAGTACTTTGGCTTAATAAAATTTTAATTTTTGAGAAGTGGTTTATTTAGAGGTTTGGAAGTAAACACGGTTCGGTGATTTATTTGTAAAGTTAAATATTATTTTTATGTG